CCCTAAACCCTAAGCACTAAAGCCTCCAAGGCAAGAGCCAAAGCGAGCCGCAAGGTGGAATGAGATGCGTTGATCTTCCATCCTTTTCTAGGCGGAGCCCACATTGGGGGTTTCCCAAAGTTAGGGTTTAGGGTTTAGGGTTCAGGGTGGAGGTTTCCCAAAATTAGGGGTACTTATAGTTACTATAATGGAGAATCAAATGGAAAAGAAAATGGAAAATGAAATGGAAACTGGGATATATAGGGGATTATAGGGATTAAGGTTCCCAAAATTAGGGGTACCATTTTGGGGGTCCCAATAATAAGGACTATAGTATTTTGGGGTCTATAGGTCTATATTGGGGTCCCTCTATTTTGGGAAACTACCACATGAGCTGTAGTCTAAACTCCTCAGAGGGGGTTTATACGGGGGATTGTATAAGGTTTAGGGTTTAGGTTCAGGGTTTAGGGTCTAAACTCCGAAGAGGGGGTTATATAGGGGATCGTACAGGGTTTAGGGTTTAGCGCCTACACTCCTTGAAAGGGGGATTCTACAAGGGATTGTGTAGGGTTTAGGGGTCAGGTTTCAGCATCTCAAGTCCAAGTAGGAATTCCAGGAGCAGTTGTCTTAAATCATACACGCCCGCCCATTGGGTCCGGCAACACAATGTAACATCTTCATAATGCTTTGATTCATTCAGCCGACGCCCTTCCACCACACGTTTTTCCGTATAACCTGATAGCCGGAACAGGGCCCGAACCTTTTATTAAAGCCCGAACTCTAGACCGAACCCAAGGAGGCCCAAGGGGCTCGGCATTGCCGGGCAAGGAGCCCCCAAAAGCTTGGCATTGCTGGGTAAGGGGCCCCCCAAGAGGCTCGGCATTACTGGGTAAGGAGGCCCCAGGGGCTCGGCGTTGCCGGGTAGGGAGGCCCAAGGGGCTTGGCCAAAGGGCTCGGTATGCAGACTAAGGGTTTTAGGACCCAGGGTTTGGGGGCTAAACTCCTTAAAGGGGGCTGTATAGGGTTTTATAGGGTTTAGCGTTTAGGGTCTAAAAATTCCTTAGAGGAGGATTAAATAGGGGACTACTACAAGGGTTGTCAAGGGTTGCCACTAGGAGTTTAGACAATGGCTCACATGATTTTTGTGGGGTTAACGCGTTAGGAGGTTCTTGGCTGGGTTTAGTGCTTTAGGTTTCGTGTTTAGGGTTCAGGGTTGGGCACATGGGAGTTTCTAGTGCGTTTTTCGGCGTTCCTTGCGACAGACCGAGGGCTACCACAAGGGATTCTCAGCTTCAGAAGCTCTCATTCCCAGATGAGTGTGTGCCTAAACTACGATCCCCTCTTGGGGTCTTTTTATCTTCAAAGTTCCGTTTAATTAGGGGTATAATAGGGGCCCTAGTGTAGGCACATACCCAGATCAGAGTGGTCATGTTGCTCTGCACAGCTCATCTTGTGAGCAGTCTTATTCTTGTTGCTACTGGGCTTGTTCTGTCATATTTCTCTCAGCTTTTACCTTAATGTCCATATTCATGTTACTTATATACCATATTTGCAGCAGTTCATAACTCACTGCTTGAATCCCACCCTGACCCAACGAATCCTTCAAGCCCTAGCCCCGAAACCCCTAAACCCCTTTAAACCTTTACCAAGCGCCCTACAGCCCCGCCTCGAGAGGCCACAGACTGATCGGCTGTAACGCTGCGTGGAAGCCCAAAGAGCTCCAATCGGCCAGGCCCTGCAGTGTCAAACAGTTTCTGAAAAGGTGAGAAAAGGAGATTGCAGGAATAATATGGGGAGGTTATAGGTATGTATATGTATATATATATATATGGAGTAAATGTGCATATGGGGTTTAGCGCTTAGGGTTCCGCGAAATTTTTTAAGCATGGGCCCAAAGTTACTCTAAATCCTGGTTTCCAGAGTACCTAGTACATACCTTATGCATCCTAGAAGCTCGCTAGGAAGGCTAGATTTAAGCTTCATTAGACATTCACACGGTTTACGGCTTAGGTTGGGTACTGCCCCCCCCTCGATAACAGTTGGATAATAAGTATAATATGGTGATATATAGCCCTTACTAGGACCCTAACATAGACTGTTACTATCAGGAACCCTAGGAAGCATTTAACTATAGGCATTTAAGTTCTTTACAATAAGAACCCCTACCTCAATATTTAAATGCTTGGGTTTAAATGCTTCCTAGTCCCCCTAAGTTACTGGGTGGGGGGCAGTACCCAAGGTTTAGGGGGTAAGGGTGTATGGGCTTTGGGTTTGCGATATTTGAAGCTTAGGATCCCTAAGCCCTAAGCCCTGGTTTAGGGTTTAGGGTTTAGGGGTTGTGGGGTTGAGGGTTTAGGGTTTAGGGTTTGGTTTGAGAATTGTGGGCTGGAGGGATATCATAAGAATATGGAGCCAAATAATGTAGAACCAAATCGAAGAGACAATGAAACATATAGTGGAAACTGGGATTGTAACAGGAGTTCGGAGTTTGCCTTCTAGGGCAGTGAATGGACGATCAATGACACAGATACATGCAATGGCGGTAGTAAGCTACGAGAATTGTAGCAGAATAAGTCGTCACGCGGTCGCAATCCTGCTATTCATGTTATCCGAGCCTAGATATCTTGAATTGAAGCTTCTGCCAAGCGCGGCATTGGTATGCAAAGGCATGTTCTACTTGCCTAGGTTGCTCTTGTAGAAGCCTGCAATCACTACTGCATGGTATGCATCAACCTGGCCCCAAAACGGTTAAACATATAAAAGTCAGGCAATTTCGCTCAAGAGCTTGAGATCAAAAATCAAAGCCCGCATCTAAGCCTCAACCTGATATCCTGGTCGCGGTGCAGCATTTTTCATTGCCTTGCGAGCATCAGCCAGCAGCTGCGGCTATATGGGTATTTCCAGAAATGGGGGTCGTGCCCCGATATATGTCAAAACAAGGCAACCTCGATGTCAAAAAGGGACCTCTTCTTTCTGGAAACCCCCCTAGATATATAGGTTTGTCAACCAAACCCCACTTCAGGAAGCTCAGTCACAAGCCCACATGGTTTAAGGGGGACATTTGGCCCCCAAACTGCACCGTGTTCTTTTCCGAAGGGGGGGTTGCTGAACAAACCAATTAATACGCGTGTCACCCTTCCGCCATGCAATGCATCATAAACCCAATTCGATCCCGCGAGTAAAATTGTGTCCGTTGCGCAGGGTGCCCCCTTTTTGCATTGCGCTTGGAAACAAGAAGGACTACTACTACTACTACTACTGCTGCTACTGCTGCTGCCGCTGCTGCAACAACAACAATTATTACTAGTATTACAGCTAGTACTGGTACTACTGCTACTTCTACTTCTACCGCTACTACTCTTGCTTCTATTCAAGCTACGTCTACGACCAATACCAGCACTATTACTGCTACGGCTACTACTAGTGCTGCTGCTGGGGCTGTTGCTGCCATTGCTGCGATGGCTGCTGCTGCTGTTACTACTACTATTACAAGAACAACAACAACTACTGCTGCTACTACTACTACTACTTCTACTGCTGCAGCTGCAGCTACAGCTAAAGCTACAGCTATTGCTACTACTGCTGCCACTACATCTACATGCCCTGGATGATTCGTGGAACGCAAGCTGGGCAATGGCAGGTCCCTTGCCTCTACTATCGAAGCCTGAATAGTTACTAGCAGCAATAATGCTAAGAGTAACACAGCCAGTAATAAAAAGAAAATAGTAATAGTCGTAATATCAGGAAACAAGTAATACTAGTCATAGGAGCAACAACATTGAAGACAAGAGTAGTTGTAGCAGCAATAATGGTAAGATCAGAAGTACCAAACAATGATGATAGTCATCATGGTTTCAACAGTAAAATCGGACATAGTAGTCATGACAGTGTGATCCCCTTATAGCCACGTAGCCAACAGCCATCTTGAGAACGTATAGGCTTTTGTGGCTCTGTGAGCTGATCTTCCACAGGCACCTTGTGTCGGAATTAATGCAACTTCTGGGCCATCCTGGCGCCTGCACGGCCCAAGATTTGAGATGCCATGCTCCTGTAGAGCTCAAGTAATCCAGATGCATGGAGCGGACATGCGTACCATGAAACGTTCGTTTGCACCTTGAAGTGAGAGGTTTCAAACAAAGGCAACTTTCTTCTCCGCGTTCCATAGCTGCTGATGTCCGCGCGGCTGACAGCCTGTGTCGCTTTCCTGCGCTCATGCACACAGGCGTTTTTCGGGACAGTAGAGTCCCTAATCAACGAGGCTTCTTCTGATTGAATATTCCGCCTGTCTTGTATGCCATTGTATGCAATGATGCAATGCGTAAATTCCCTACAATCGCCTGTAGGACACTGAACATAATCCTCCAACACCCTACCAAATGCACCAAGTGGCGGGTTTGATCCTCATCGTGGGTTCCCCCTGACCAAATCCCGAATACATGGGCCTGAACGATTACCAACATTTTGGTATACTATGGTCGTAGATTCCTGGTATATTTTTGGGATAGGGCACCCCAAATCAACCCTAAACCCTAAACCATTTTGTAGTTGTTGAGGATCATCCCTATAAGCCTCGAAATCAACCACGTTTCCATGTCATTTTCTATTTGATTTTCCATTTGATGTCCATTGGTTTAGGGTTTAGGGTTTCTATTTAATCTTCTACTTGATGTCCATTATTGGGGTCAATATATCCCTATACCAAATCCTATGTATCCCAAGGTATTCCTTTTAAACCCGTATAAGCCCTTGAAAGGGGGATTATCTAGGCCCCTACATTGTGTGTTGCAGATGGTCTCAGTTGTCACATTACTCAAACCTAAAAAGGACTATGAAGCTAGAATTTTTAGCGGCCCGGGTTTTTAGTATGCTATTGAATCTAATATGGAATACCAGCCTAGACTTTTAGTAGAATACCGGTTTCCATTTCATGTTCCACTTCTTGGAGATAATCTTCCCAAAGCCCCATATTATAACCCCTACACCAGAATCCCTTGAATAAGGAACCAGTTGCATCCTGGCATATGGAACTCTAAGCCCTGAACCCTGCACCCTTGTCCACCACCCGCGCTCCAGCTCAAGCAGTG